TGTAAAATAAAATGAAAAATCTGTGACTGTAAATCATAAAATTACTGATTATTTAAAAAAATGTTCCCTTTTTTCACATAAAAAGATGAAATTACAATTTGCAAATCTATAACTTTTTCAGATATTTATTGTTTATTTAATAAATTAACTGTTAAATTCAAGTTTAATACTTTTAATACATTTCTACATTTTATGTAAAATTAGTGACATTAACAGTAAAAACTTGTTGTTTATCAATTCAATTCAATTCAATTCAATTCAATTTTATTTGTATAGCGCCAATTCATAACAGAAGTTATCTCAGGACACTTTTCAAATAGAGCAGGTCTAGACCGAACTCTTTAACATCAGTGTATAAGCGTTGGTAAACTGTCTAAATACAGTTTTTATCAGTGTAAACAGCAATAATTACTGTAATTTCACAGATAATTAATTTAATTACAGTTCTATAACTTTTAACAATCAGATTAAAATAATAAAAATCTAATAATTACAGCACTCTGCTATAATACAAATAATCAGGCTTACATTTACAGCAGAGTTCACCTGTATTTATAGATCATTGGTTTACACTGTAAATATCTTTAATTAAACATTAAAAAGCCCCAAAAAGATTGTATGTCAAATGAAAGCTGTAAACTGTATTTTAATTATAGATAAAGAGTCAGTTATTTTCTGTTATTTCACCATTAAATGAGAATGATTTCAGATCATTTACAGTTTTATTATAAAATTCTGGACCAACAGCAGCACATGAAGTTACAGACAAAACAAGAATCGCATTTCATAAACATCAGAAACATTTCAAACAGCTGCTCTCAGGCCCCGAACCCCAAGCTCCTCTGAGGAGGTTCGGGACCAAAGGATTGTACGAGGAATTAAACCACCGGTGGAAACACCTCCACTTTTGTTCAGAGGCGGGTTGTGAAGCCCGGTGAAATACTGGAGCTGATGTCTGCAGCCTCTGGAGCCTCTGGAGCCTCTGAAGCCTCTGAAGCCTCTAAAGCCATTAGTCAGTCCCGCTCCCTTTCGAATATTTGGCTGTTGCCGTGGTAACGCCTCTGGAGCAGCTCGCAGTGTTTTTCCCTGATTCTGCAGATTCAGAGTAAATGAGCGAGCAGAGAGACGAAGAAGGCCGTAAATGAAGCAGGAAGGAGGCGGTTTGATCCGACTGGTTCCTACTGTGTGTGTGTGTGTGTGTGTGTGTGTGTGTGTGTGTGTGTGTGTGTGTGTGTGTGGTATAGGGGTATCATTTGACCTCTGCACTGTCCACACCTTGTTTCTTCTCTTATCCTTGTTTCCTTTCATCTTTACTCCTCACTTTGTCCCTCAATCTCATCCTTCTTCATTCAATCTCTTCTCCTTTTCCTCCCTGTTTATCTCCTCTTCCTCCTCTCCTTACGTGCTCCATTGTCTTCTCCCTCCCTCTCTCTCTAAAGCGGCTCATTTCTTCCCTCCTTCCTTGTTTATCCTTTATTTTTCTCCTCTTTCTGCCTTTCTTCTTCTTCAGATCTTCTTATTGTGGTACCCTCTTCTTCCTCCTTCCTCCTTCCTCCTCTTCTCTTCTTCTCATCTTCTTGCCTCCCCTCTTTTCTCCCCTTCATGTTTGTTGATTTGTGAGAAGGAGGGTGTGTGTGTGTGTGTGTGTGTGTGTGTGTGTGTGTGTGTGTGTGTGTGTGTGTGTGTGTGTGTGTGGTGGGGGCAGTTGGTGTAAATGGCATTTTCATGGCAAACAGCTGGACTGGTTTATTTAAACACTCCCGTGTTGTGGAGGGGGGTGAGAGGGTGAGGAGGGGAGGGTGGGGGAGTACTGACCTGAGAATGACACCCGGGGTGGGCGGGGCTTAGCGACTGTTTTACAAGCAGTGGGTCATGTCATTAGTGTGTGTGTGTGTGTGTGTGTGTGTGTGTGTGTGTGTGTGTGTGTAGCTGCTTTGTTTAAAACCTCACTCAAGGCGTCCGACTGTACAGAGAGGAGCAAACCCTTCCTCCTCCTCCTCCTCCTCTTCCTCCTCCTTTTCTAACCTGAGGGGAGGGGCTGGAGGGGGGGTCAGTATAAGTATAACCAGTGACTGTTAAACCATTATATATAAGATAAGATCTAATAGTCTTTTTTTTGATCCCACACTGGGGAAATGTGCGTGTTACAGCAGCTCCAGATACAACACAAAATATAAAAAAACATACCGTTATAAAAGAAAAATAAGAGTTATATGTACACTATATGCACCTGTTTATATACAGATGTGGTTGATGAAACATTTAGTTTTGCAGGAAGACACAATTATTGGATTCTGATATAAAAATACAAAGATATTGGCTGGGACAATCTTCAAGAGCTAAACAGGAATTTTTAATTTCATCTGGACTTTAGGTCTGAACTGGGCCAACATGGCTCCCATCCCGGCTCTCTTCCTCTCCTCCCGGGGCTAGCACCCGTTGTCGTGGACAGGTTAGGGTTAGTCCACTGCTCTTTAATCCAAATCCCACATCTTACTCTGACTTTGACGACTGTCACAGGTTGTAGGTGTTTCAGCAAATAAAGCTGGAAACAGATGAAAACAAACACAGAGGCAGGATCTGTATGCACATAGTCAGAATCTCCTGATCCAGTGGATTTAAATAGTTTTGGCTCTAATATCCATCAGACATTATTCATTATCAGCAATAAAGCATAAAACCCTGATTCTAGTCTTAAGTGTCACTACGACAGTGTAACACTCACAGAGTGTCTGAAAGATGATGTTTTTCCATGAAGCTCAACTTTGTGACGGTGCAGTTTATGGGTCGTCTGGCTGCAGAAGAAAGAGCCTCAGTGTTATGGAGGCTGGGTGGGTGGAGGGGGGAGGGGGGGTTAGCTGATGGTCTTTGTGCAGCATACGAGTGTGTGTGTGTGTGTGTGTTTGTGTTTAGGGGTTCACAGCTGTAAACTCAGTCTCATGGTGTGAAGGGGTCGTGGATAGGTGACACTTTGAGTTCTTTAATGGAGGCTAAAACCGGAGCTTCGGATCAGTCTGTGTTTTATATTAGAGAACTTGGAATGGTTGTTCTACCACTGAATAATCCAATAAATAAGAAATAATAACAGCAGAATATTTAAATCCCAAAACACATTTAATGACCGTATTCCTGGGAGAAGAGTGATCACAGATTATTTGACTGTGCCTCCTCATCTCAGGTTATGGCCACAGTAGCCGTGTTTCCCTCAACGTGTGTTTGTGACGTACTGAATCAGAAAAGGTTGATGAAAATATGTTTCACACTTTCTCAAGGTGGTTTTTGCTTTAACGAATATTTAACTCACACTACTGATGATGACTGTCTCCTCATCGCTCCTCATGTCTCTATGATGTGTTTTCACCATTTGAGGCTCTCTTCTTCTGGCGCCACCTACTGATTATTTCAATAAACAAACTTATAATAATCGAATAATGGTAGCGGATGGAAACAAGCATTCGTTCACATTTCATTCATTAATCAGACTTAAAGTTTACAATACTTTTCAACAGAAATGTTGCTACTGTGGACATGAACCAGGAACAGTTTAACCAAAGGGAAGAGGTCAAAGAGTCCAGTATTAACCAACAGAAACCTCTGTGGCTGCAAATGAAGCCAACATGGTAGAAACAAAAGCTGCAGTTCCTCTAACGGCCACTAGAGGCTCCAGCAGTGAGTCTCCATAAGGCTCCATATTAAAACTTTACAGCAGAAATAAACATGTTTACAGCCTTTTGGTCTCTAGAGATCATTTTCCCATTTATGTCAACTCCCCTGTTTAAATTATATTAAAGCTTAAATTATCCAAAATTAAGGGCGTGGCCGCTTTAAGGTAGGCTACAGGTGGTTTCAGTAACCAGGCTCCACCCACACTCCACCTCTTTGACCATTTGACTGGCGGAGTCAGGAAGATGTCGACCACACTGAGCTTCATAACGCCTCTTCAGAAACCTGTGGGCGACGTCACAGAGACTACGTCCTTTTTTAATTATACAGTCTATGATATTAACATGTTTTTAAAAGAGTTTTCTTAAGTAAAAACAGTCTTAGAGCATCTCGGGGGACTGAAGTTACCCTCAGAGGGGTTCAATTATTTGAGTTATCAGCTGTTCAGAGACGAAGCTCCTTCGATATCAGACCAGTCGGATATTTTACTGAAAGTAGTTTCTGTGCAGCCGTCGGTCTGACAGCTCAGTCTGGGACACAGACTGAAGCAGATCCTCATTTACTCTCCTCTAAAAATTCCTCCCCTGTATCTCACCCTTCCTCCTCCTCCTCCTCCTCCTCCTCCTCCTGCTGCTTGCCTTTTTTTACTCCCTGAAAAGGCCGCTATGGCTTTTGTTTTCCTGAAAAGGAAACAGGGTCATTCCCCACTTTTCTTTTCTTTTTCTTTTTTTAACCCTCTCTCCTCCCTCTTTCCCGAACACGTTGAAATGGAACCGTCCCACCCGGGGGTGAGGAGGTGGGGTGAGGAGGTGGGGAGGTGGTTGTAGGGGACATAAATCAAGTGGGAAACCACAGAGCTTTCACTCCGGGGCGGGTCAGGAGGGGTCGACGGGCGGTTCAGAAAGCTTTAAGCTGAGGAAGACCAGAACGCTCCTCATGCAGAGGGGAGGAGGCAGGGGGAATATGAGGAGTTAAGGGGCGGGGTGGGGGGGTCACAGAAGGTGCCAGGTCATAGGTCACGCATACCAGGATGATGGCTTTCAAGAGTGTACTTAGAAGGGGACATGTATGAATGCACCGCTGCAGCCCCCTGAAGCCTGACGCCGTTACTTCAGCCACTGTATGAACCTGGTTAACAACCGCTGGGTGAACACCTATGTTACCTGTGTTACCTGTTACTTTTACTTGTTACCTGTTTCTGTGTTAGCTGTTACTTCTGTACCTGGGTAACACCTATGTTACCTGTGTTACCTGTGTTACCTGTTACCTGTTACCTGTGTTAGCTGTGTTAGCTGTGTTACCTGTGTTACCTGTGTTACCTGTTACCTGTGTTAGCTGTGTTACCTGTGTTACCTGTTACCTGTGTTACCTGTTACCTGTGTTAGCTGTGTTACCTGTTACCTGTGTTACCTGTTACCTGTGTTAGCTGTGTTACCTGTTACCTGTGTTACCTGTGTTACCTGTTACCTGTGTTACCTGTTACCTGTGTTACCTGTGTTACCTGTTAGCTGTGTTACCTGTTACCTGTGTTACCTGTTACCTGTGTTACCTGTTAGCTGTGTTAGCTGTGTTACCTGTGTTACCTGTTAGCTGTGTTACCTGTGTTACCTTGCTGTGTTACCTGTGTTACCTGTGTTACCTGTTAGCTGTGTTACCTGTGTTACCTGTTAGCTGTGTTACCTGTTACCTGTGTTACCTGTGTTACCTGTTAGCTGTGTTAGCTGTGTTACCTGTTACCTGTGTTACCTGTGTTACCTGTTAGCTGTGTTACCTGTGTTACCTGTTACCTGTGTTACCTTGTTACCTGTGTTGTTAATTTATGTTAAAACACTGTTCAATAGTTCAAAGTGACAAACAGCTTAATTTGATACATTTTGTCCTGATTATAAAACGATAATTATTGTATATTATATTTGAACTGTAAATATATAAATCAGATTAACTGTTTAAACGCTAGCTGCTAAACTTAGCCGTAAGCTAACGTGAACCAAATAGTTTTAGCTAATAAACCTTAATGACACACAAACAGTTACTACGCTGAACATTCAGCTTCTTAAAAACCTGCTGAACAAAAATAATAAAATAACCTGGACCGACCTGTGTTAGACCTCCAGCTAACCCAATGTAAACTATTTAAGCTGCTCAACCTAATCTTTAGCTAATGAAGTTTAATTCTAAGCTTAAACTGGCTAATGGAAACTAATCTGTTCTATCTTGTAAACTGAACATTTAGACTTACAGAAATCAAACTATTTGACTTAATAATCTATTATTCTTATGTCTATGTTATTGTTTTCTGTCGGTGCTTTTTGGACTTCCCGACTACATTTTAGCGACTAGCCTTTCTGATGCTGATAATGTGGATGTTCCACATGGTTGCATAAAGCAGTTTTTATCTGTTTTAACCAGTTTTTCTTTCCAGTAATGCTCCGAAAATAAGAATGAAAAACATTACATATCAGACAGACTTGAGATATTCTGTGTGCAGTGAGGCGTTTGGTGTCCCACAGTGAATCTGAGCTCTTTCTCTGTGAGCAGGGAGGAAGTTGGGGTTTCTCTGCAGCTTTAGAGACAAAACATTGAAATCATACACTGCCGGTCCACCTCATTTATTAACTGTCACTGTGTCTTTCCCTCCTGTTTCTCTCCTCATCTTTCCTCCTCTTCCTTTCTCTCAGGTTCATCAACGCGAGGCGGCGCATCGTTCAGCCGATGATCGACCAGTCCAACAGAGCAGGCAAGTGTTATAGTTTTTATATTTAGACTACAAGTACAAATCTTTACCTCTTAACCGCTAGTCCTGGTAGAAATAGTTTTATTATTCATATTATTATTTATTATTTAATATTTAATGAATGAGCTGAAAGAGTTTGAAATTCTTTCCCACAATTTATTCAGTAGATTATTTTAAAAGGCTCAGATCTCAGAAGGTTTTCTTTCTACTTCTGTCAGGATCAAGATAGAACAAATAATAACACATAGTTTATTCCAATAGTTCAAATGCTTTCCACATAGCTCAATCAACACTGTATGTGTGTACTGATTAGTGGTTTATTTGTTGTATTAAAAGCTGCTTTCCTTAAATGCCATTTTTTTAATGGCAGCTTTATGTCATTGAATGTCGTTTAGGAAATGATGGAAATATATAATGTGAAACACGATCGAGGCACTGCGCCATCTTGTGTTTTTGATGTAGGACTAATATTATTCTGCATGTTACTGCAGAGGGCCAGTATTGGCTCTGTTACTGTACTGTAGCTGTATTTTAATAACACAACGCACAGGAAGCAGCAACATGTGGTTAAAAGCAGGAAAGTCAGTAAATCAGTCGCTGATCTGTGGATGAATTCTTACTCTATCTGCTGTCCACATTTATATTGTATGAAAAACACAGTCTGTGCATCTATAAGACCGACTCGCTATTAATTATTATATAATTATAATTATTATTATATTAAACTATTATAACTACATTATATAAAAAGTGTAAAAATACACATTCATTTCACTTGTGACCACATACTCTGAAACGTTGTTTAGCAACATTTTTGTGGTGCAACATGTGAAACCTATGTGACTGTGACTGTGACTGTGACTCTACATGTGGAGGCATCTTTCCTTCATGTGATCACAAATGAGGGAAAGATGGGAAATTTTGTCTGTAAGGGGACGTGAATGAACATGATTTGACTGTCTTAAAGCATTTGACTGTCTTAAAGCATCATCTCTACAGAATATATCACATATCTAAAACATCAGATGGCACCAGTACCTTGATGACGTCAGATTTCAGTGCAAATATTATTCATTCAGTAGCTTCCTGAAGGGCATCCCATGTATATGTATGTAGTTTAACAGTACATATATGTTCACATTATATAAAATCTTATTGATTGGACTCAAACACATGTTATCCTCCTGAATATGTGGAAAAATCCTTGAAAATTTATTTTTTTCATGCCTAAACAGTAATAAAAGCACCGACAGTTGTCGTTATAATTCATTCAAGTGCAAACATGACAGTAACCAGAAACCTGGATGAGGAGTTTATTTGCCGCAGTTTCTGGAGTTCTCCATGAATATCCAGATATCTGAGAGCAGGATATGATCTCTCCAGAAACTGTGTATGTAAACACTCAATTAAAAAAGCAGGCTGGATTTGAGCAGTAAGAGTCTCACCGGTGAACTTCCCCCCCGCTTACTGTGTCTTTTGCTCTCTCGGCTGCTCGCCGTGTTAAAGCGAACAGAGAGGCTTAAACTCCAGGATTGAATGGCCTCTAAACCCCTGCGGGATTAGCTCCAGACAAAGACGCTAATCGCTTTGACTGACCACTCCATTGAACATTTTAACCTGGGATTAAAACAAATAGGAGCCCGGCTAAAGCGCAGCTGAAGTACTGCTAGCCTTTTGGCCCCCGAGCTTTGTTAGCATTAACCCCCGGGCTGACTTCCACACAAAAGCCCCTGATGCTCGGCTGAATGACGGCGATGAGAAACTGTTAAAGCTTTGAATGCTGAGAATGTGACCGTGTAGATTGAAAAACTTCCCCTCAAAATGAAACTTTATCAAGCTAATTTCCCCACGAGGATGAACACATTTCATTTAAAGTCGCCTCATCACTGATTAATGACCTCCTCTTCTCCTCCTCCCACCAAAGATTAGACGGAAGAAAATAAACTCCATCATAAACAAGTGCAGAGAAAACAGGAGTGTATTTACACACAAAATAAGTGCTGCTATCAGAGTTTATGCAGAAATATAATAAATAACATATAAATATGAGCTACAGCATTGTTGGGTTACAGTTTAAAAGCAGCAGAATAACATACAAGAGGACAAAAACCTTCCAAACAAAATACGTTCCTTCGAGAACATTCACAATAACACTGTTTTCATTCTGATTGAAGATTTCAGGTCGACTGTTAACACAGGATGTGATCTAATACAGTCTGGTGTTTTATTATAGTTCTCTAAAACTGCACTGAAAACCAAATGTAGGTGTGAAAACTGAAATAAAAATAAAAGCTGGACTAAAACTAGACAAAAAACAAACAAACGATATTGTGTACTCACAAAACTAAAATAAATAGAATTAAAAATATACAAGAAATGTCTTTAGAAGTAGTCAATTTGGTCAATTTGGTCACTGACTTATGCAAGAGTGGTATCAAGTGTGTCTCAGCTTTCCATTAATTCCCAATAATTCCAACACTTTTATACATACTATATATATATATATATATATATATATATATATATAGTATGTATATATAAACTATTCCAATACACAAGGTAAAAGTACACCACATACAAACTGCTTATTTTTCAGGGTATCTTCATATCTTGAGGTTAAATTTGGAGCGTTCTTTAGCCCCCTCAGCATGACAAGGTTGGTACCAATGGATGCGTTAGGTCTTCTAGTTTCATATGATACCGGTATCTTCACTCTAGCTTTAAGATTTATTCCATGGATTTGTTTGAACAGGGCGATATTTCTATTCTATTCTATTTAATGGCGTATGCTTTTATTTATTGAGTTATTTCTTTCTTTCTTTTTAATTTTGGCAGCTTTGGTCCTCCATAGACAGTTTCACTGTTGGTCTTTTTATCCTTCCTCTCCACCCGTTAAGATAAAATGCTCCTTTATAAATTAAAAAACGGTTCATCTCCAACAGTCCTGCTGTTTACTGCTGTAAACACTAAGGTCTGTTGGGTGGTTCAAAAGGTCAGAGGTCATACATCGGGTGTCTGTCACAACCTTAACTTGCAGCAGCAGTTTGGACAAAAGGCTGCAAATATTAATCTGCAGAAACTGAAGCTATACTGCCCCTAGAGGCTGACATGTTCATTTCACCCCACAATATCGTGAGAAACAAACAACTTACTGATTATTTAGTTGCTTTAGGAGTAATTCTGACAGTCGGGACACTAACTGTAAACTCTGTCCTAAAGGTTGGGGCTACAGAGGGTCAGAGGTCACCAGATCACTGTTATTGATCCTCTGGGGAGCAGGAATATCCAAAGTACATGTAAATCTCACGCTGGAGAGGCTCGTCCCTCCATAAAGGAGAGGTTGTGTGATAGACAGCAGCTGTGAGAGTGACGTCATCACTGTGGGACAGCAGGCAGCGAGATAATTAAAAAGAGTAATCTCCTCCCCCCGTGTCCGCAGTGAGCCAGGCAGGACCGTACGGCCCAGATGGTCAGCCAATGGGAGGCTTCGTTATGGACGGACAGACACACATGGGAATCAGACCACCTGGTAAACACACACACACACACACACACACACACACACACACACACACACACACACACACACACACACCTCATACCTTGTGTAAGTGTGATGCAGTGTTAATGTTATTTTCCTTTAATAAAACGAAGAGAGTGTTGAGTGTCTCATGAGGCTGTAGAGATCATTACACACCGCAGATCAAAATGTCACACGGAGGAAAAAAGAAAAATAAACACTTTTCTCTTCATAAATCTTAAAATGTAAAGTCTGTGGCACCAGAGGAGAAGTGATGTAAATGAAAAAGGTTTTATCCTCTAAAGAGATCTCGGATTCGGTTCGGCTGCAGTTCCTCTAACGGCCACTAGAGGCTGGCTCCAGCAGTGAGTCTCCATAAGGCCCCATATTAAAACTTTACAGCAGAAATAAACATGTTTACAGCCTTTTGGTCTCTAGAGCTATTTCCCCCGTTCATGACGACTGTACAGAAACTGTTTACTGAGCTCATAAATCAAGTCGGCTCATTTCTCCATAAGACTGCATGCTATCATTCTTTATAGCAGCCAATGGAGCTGCCCCCTGCTGGCCGTTACATAGAGTGCAGGTCTAAGACACTTAACTTCACAGACCCGGAGACTCTGTCCATTATATATACTGCCAATGGTTCAGCAACGTCCGACTGTTGCAACTGTATATATTCAGCAAACTAACTCGCCAACATTAGCATTT